CCCTGGTGCCCAGTATGAGATCTCTTATTGGGGAGCCTCTGTACCAGTTGACAGCCCATCAAGTGCCAACAGCTGGGACAAAGTGATTATTGACAAGAGTGATACAGAAGCTTGGCCCTCCATCAGCCGCAGTAGTGACCCCTGCAACCCTGTAACACCAGAATGCCCCTCGGGCTCCACCAGCTCTAACCTAGACACCAGTGCTGTCACTACTACCAGTAGGAGTAGTTTTGTGAGTATGGCCACAGGCGCAGCAGGCCAGCAGGCCCACTACCCCTCTCTCAAAGCTAACAATAACATGATGACAGGACCTGGATCAACCAACGCATTAGTAGGTAATAGAGGCTGGGTTTCAGATGGTAAACAAGATGGTATGAATAGTGGCAGAGTTGGAGCACCCAATAACTGGGGCTCTTCCAATTTTAACTTGAATCTCAACCCAAATGCCAATCCTTCAGCCTGGCCTGTTCTGGGCCATGAGAGTGTTGGAGGTGGTACCAGTGGGGTGTCCAGCTCTTCATCCCTTCCACCAGGCATAAATGGCAATGGAAATTTAGGAAATGGGAACATGGGAGGTGCTGATAACAGTGGGGGAAGTTGGGTTGGCATGATGAGTGCTACAGAAAATGAGCAACAGCACCCTTCAACCAACACAAACTTGTCCTTCAATTTAGAGCCTGTTAACCTTAACACTGATGGACCAAACCACACTAAACAACAACAACAAGCTCAGGAGCCTATGAGCCCTATCCATGGTTTAACTGGTTGGGGAGGCCAGTCACCCACTGAGTCATCCCAGCTCAATGGGGATACAACCGGCAGCTCTGTATGGGGTAGTGGAGAAACCAAGGCAGCTGACTCCCCCAAGGACTCCAGCTGGGACTCAACAACATCTGGAGGCCTCTCTGCTTGGGGTCGCCAAGGCAGTGGTGGTGGGAGTAGTGGAAGTGGTGGCTGGGGTGATTGGGGAAAATCCTCTGGCGGTGGAGAAGCAACTAAAGGTTGGGACAACATAGATGCTGGTAGTTCTGGCTCAGGCCAAGACCAACAACTGAGCTCTTGGGGCCAGCAGCTTGGAACAGCCCCAGCAAGTGAGGACAGCGGAGACAGCAGTGAAGGTCGATCCCAGCCTAGAGACAGATCCTCCAGCATGGAATTTGCCCCTTTGCTACCACGGCAAGACCTTGACCCTAGAGTCCTGAGTAACACAGGTTGGGGACAGACCCCCGTCCGACAGAACACTGTATGGGAGATGGAAGAAGCAAACTCTGATGATGGAAAGAGCAGTAGCAGCTCAGACACCATAGGAGCCTCCAGCTCCAATGGCGGACCCTCATCTACCAATGGCACCATAACTCCTACCATTGCTCAGAGGCCTGGATCTGGAGGGAAAAGTGACAGTGAAGGATCTTCATCTTCTGGGTGGGGAGCTCCAGCATCTCAGCCAGTCCAGACAGGATCAGGATGGGGTGACCCCCCACAGTCAGTCAGTAAAGCTCCGAATGGCACTACTAGTGGCTGGGGAGATCCTTTGCCTTCCAGTGGTCCCAAGAATGGGGGTACCTCATCCTGGGGATCAGAGGACAAGTCATCCAGCTGGGACAATGGCCTAGTGAAAAACCAGCCTACTAGCTGGGGAGAAGGCCCCAAAAATGCCCATAAGTGGGGCAACAACAATAATGGTGGTTCTAATGGCTCCACCACAGGGGAATGGGGAGAGCCAGACATCAAGAATAATGGTTCCTCTAGCAGCATGTGGGAAGGAGAAGGAAGTAACGGAGGAAATGGTGGATGGAAGGAAAGTCCTCGAGGAGCAAATGGAGGAGGCTGGGGCAAAACTCCTGCTGTGAGTAATAGCAGCTGGGGGGAGACCTCACGTGCCAATGGACCAGTGCAGGGTGGCTGGGGCTCCTCCAAGCCACAAGAAAGCAGCAGCAGCAGCAGCACTGGTAGTGGAGGAGGTGGAAGTATTGGTTCTTGGGGAGGTCCCAGTTCTGTGAAGCAGAACAACTCTAGCTGGGGTAATGTCAGCAAACAGGACCAAGGTATGGAGCCTACTGGCTGGGAAGAGCCCTCTCCTCCCTCCATTCGTAGGAAGATGGAGATTGACGATGGAACATCTACCTGGGGGGATCCCAGTGCCTACAACAAGACAGTCAACATGTGGGATCGTAACAATCCCACTAGTAACCCAGGCAACAGCGGCCCCCCTCCAAGTAAGAATGGTGGAATGATTATTCCCAACAATAACAACAACAATCACTCCGTTGGACCTGGCAACAACAATCACCATCACTCTCACCCTCACCATATGCACCACCATACTCATCATGGCCAGCCCCCAACTCACCTGCAACACCATGGAAACAACAATGGGTCGCCCAACAATGCAGCATCACATCCAAGTGTGGGGCCCCAAGGCAGACCCACCCACTCCAACCCAGGTATTTAAAAGACTTAGACATTAATGACCTAAAATCTTATTTTGCTTGACATTCAAGTAGTATTTGAAATTCAAAAATGAATTAAAATTTGATTTCTGATCTTGTAGTCTCCCACCATACTATATTCAATGAAATGTTTAAAATTTTCAAACTGACTTTTACAAAAGTGGGTATTTCTTTCTAACAGCATATGTGTGTTTTATTCAAGGCATACTGATTTTCTTGTCTGTTAACAAGCCAGGGAGACAGACAAAGACAAAGAGATTTTGTTTTCACCTGTTCCCATAAAATGAGAAAATTATAACAAGCTTGGGAACTATGGTCCTTCCTTTCAAAAATAATTTCTTTGAAGAATTTACAAAGTGACTGTTTTTGCTCTCAGAGAAGTTAAAATCTTCACAGTTGTCATCAGCATTTAATAGTAGGTTTAAGTTTGCACTTTCACAAGATCTAGTAAGTCTTTGAAAAACAAAAGCCCTGTGAAGCATAGATATTTGCCAAAGCTTTATTGGCAAACAGTTTTAATTGTGAATGAGACCACTGCCATCTGCTGTCTGCAATTTGTGCTGCAGTGACTAAGGAGCATCATGAACACTTCCAAAACACATTTAAGCCAAATAGCTGCCCATTTCTGCTGATGTCATTAATTTAGGCTTTTCCTAATCTGCTGCTTTGCTTTGTCTTGTCTCATTCACCTACACATTCATAGACACAGCTTGGCAGGCTGGGGTGGTGAAAGGCATATAATTATAAAAAACCACAGCATACAATAGAAAAGGTTACTATCACTTATTGATATGTCACTAAAGCTTAGTCTCTTTAGACCTTCATGCTATGTGATGCTGGCCTTGATGGGAACAGTGGTATTATTCCATTTGTTTTCAGGGAAGCACATAAGAGGATTAACTAATGATGTTTTAAAATTGATGAAAATTTCTGCTGTAAAGAAGCTGATTTCATTCTTTTAACTAATTAATTGCCCTTTCTTCCAGGCTGGGGGGAGATTCCAAGTGTTCAGCCCAAGTCAGAACCTGCTTGGGGAGAGCCAGCAGCTCCAACATCAGCTGTGGACAATGGTACCTCAGCCTGGGGCAAGCCCCCAGGTGGGGTAGGAGGATGGGGAGACGGTGGCCATGAGTCCTCTGGCCCCTATGGCAGGGGAAGTGGACCCCCAGGTTCTGCACCTTGCAAGCCAGGTAACACTCAGAATTTATTGTTAATGCTGGATGTTAATAATAGGAGTTGATTAGCTGATACCACCAGTGCTATATTCAGTGCCATCAATTAGTTCAGACTTACAAAATTACTGTTTTTCTGCTTTAACCTGTGAACACAATTGTCAACTTAGGCACTGGTTTGCTTTGGGTTCACTATTTTGTTTATGTCAGTAGCTCCATAATATGTTTGCACAGCACACTTCAGTTAGGGAACACAAACGGGAAGTTTCTACAGAACTGTACCGTTTGTGCCAGTTTTGAAAGTTTTTGTTAGTGCTGCTGGAGTGTTGCTTGGATTAAAGCAATTCCACGCCTCAGTGGAGCTTGGTTATTTGTGCTGTTGGTTTTAAATGTTGGAAACGATAGAGGGGAGGTGTAGGGAGAAAGTGCAGACTGGCATGTAGCAACAGTGGCACCAAGTGGCTGTGTTTAAAGTTACGTGCTGCTCAGCTTCTGAAATGGTATTGTGAATATAGAGGACACATAGTATCGAGTAATGCACTGAAGATTTTTTTTCTTTTATTCCTCACAACTTAATCCTATATTTCCCATCCCTTTCTTTCAGGCCCCAAACCTATGCAAGATGGCTGGGGAAATGGAGGGGAAGAGATGGGCATGTCTACCAGCCAATGGGACACTGAGGATGGGGATGTATGGAACAGCCCAACCCCCCAGGAGAGCAGCTCTTCTTGTAACTCCTGGAGCAATGGACCCAAGAAGTGCCCAAACAAGGTCAGTGAACTCACCTGTCACAGTGGCATTTATGACCTTGGAAACATCATGTAATGTTGAATTCATAATATTTTTGCTTCTTTGTTTTCAGGGCAAGATGGGCAACAAGCCAGATGAGGCCTGGATTATGAACCGTCTCATCAAGCAACTCACTGACATGGGCTTTCCGGTATGAACCCTGCATATTTAGAATTAAGTGTCAATGCAGACTCAAAGCACTCGCAAGCTTTCTTCTGGAATTTTTGCTTTAATGCCTCTGCGCTGGTGGCAGATTTAGCTGCGAGGTATCATTTATTTAGGTTATCAGTTCTGAAAGTGATACTCAGAGATGAAGGTCACTATGACCTCTAACCAGGAATTTGATATTTATTCAACACAGGAAGAAATTTCTTACGATTTAGCATAAGCATGCACTAGCGCTGTGGAATGAACAAATTGGATTTCAATGGTCAAAGGTTATTGTGACCTTAAACAAAAATTTGGGGGCATTATAAATGAAACCTTTTCAGGCTGGAAAAACTATCAAGTGATGAAATATCAGCTCTTCTGGCAAATTAATCCCAGTCTGGTTATGCTAATTACAAGGTTTTTGTACTTCACAGAGAGACCCTGCTGAGGAGGCATTGAAGAGCAACAATATGAACCTTGACCAGGCTATGAGTAAGTACACCAGCATTTACGTGTGTCAACCTTGTCTTTACGCTTGCTGTTCTGAGATGTTTGTTTTTATTTGAATAAATCAGTTCATTCTCTTCAGTTCCGCTTGGTTGAATACTGAGGGACCTTTTTCTTTAAAATATATATTTTTACCACTAATGAGATTAAATAAAACTCTCTTTTATAGTGACACAATATATTTATTTGGCTAGATTTCACAACCTCTGCAATCACCTCTTCTCCTTCTAGCTGCTCTTTTAGAGAAGAAAACAGACCTGGACAAGCGAGGCATGGGCATGTCTGATTACAGCAATGGCATGAACAAGCCTTTGGTGTGTCGGCCTTCCGCACTCTCCAAAGACCCCTCCGAACGCAACGCCTTCCTCGACAAGGTACGTCGGGTATAAATGCATGGTGGTATTCAATTCAATTTAGTTTTATTTATACAGCACCAAATCATAACAACAGTCGCCTAAAGGCGCTTTATATTGTAAGGTAGCCCCTACAATAATATGTACAGTGAAAACCATATGACTCCCTATGAGCAAGCACTTTGGTGACAGTGGGAAGGAAAGACTCCCTTTGAACAGGTAGAAACCTCCAGCACAACCAGGCTCAGGGAAGGGCGGCCATCTGCTGCGACCGATTGGGGTGAGAGAAGGAAGACAGGATAAAGACATGCTGTGGAAGAGAGCCAGAGATGAATAACAAGTATGATTCAGTGCAGAGAGGTCTATTAACACATAGTGAGTGAGAAAGGTGACTGAAGAAAAAACACTCAATGCATCATGGGACTCTCCAAGCAGCCTACACCTATTGCAGCATAACTAAGGGAGGATTCAGGGTCACATGATCCAGCCCTAACTATATGCTTTAGCAAAAGGAAAGGTTTGAGCCCTTACTGTAACTTTAGGCTTTTCTCTAATTATATGCTTAGATTGTAGCTTTTATGATATGTTAACACATCACATTGGAAGGTTTTTAGATTGTAACGTCTTGGTTAGTACAAGAAATGTTTTTACAAACATATAATTAACATTGTCAACGTGTAATGTTTGATGTTGCGCTCATCTGCCTTTATTCCCCTCATTAACTCTTTATTTTCCTCTGGTCTAGGATGGCGTCCTGTCAGACGACACCCCCCCATCACCGTTTTTGCCTTCCCCCAGCCTGAAGCTCCCCCTGGCCAATAGTAGCCTTCCTGGGCAGGGTCTGGGACAGGGCAACCCGGGGCTGGCCATGCAAAACTTGAACAGACAGGTAAAGCAGGTTTTCTTTTCTTTTTCTTTTTCTTTTTCTTTTTTAAATATATGTAGTATAAAATACTACATATGTAGTATGGGGGGGGGGCTTTGCACCCTTGGACAGCTGATACAGACAGTATCACTGTGCACAACCACTAATTTGCAGTGCTCTCTGTGGGATTTCCATATACAGATTGCAGTAGCAGCAACAAAAGATGTGTTAAATTGTTTTATACACATCTCTCTATTCACATGCTTTCCCACATCTCCCTTTTTCTGTTGCTCACTTTTGTGTATAACCTTGCCTGAAGAGCCCATTGAAACCAGATAGTTATGCTCTATCAAATATCACCCCTAGAGGCAGGCATGGCCCAGAAAAACTACAGGATGTCCTTGAAGTCCAAACAAAGGCACTGCAAGCAGCCTTTTTTCAAACTGAAAGGAAAGCCCTCTTCAGCAGTATGGGGTTAGAAATTTGAACAAGTGGCTTTTACAGGCTGATTGTTTTTCGTCAATTTAAAAAATGCAATTTCTGACATTTTTATGATCAAACAAACAGTTGCTCTCACCTTTTCCCCTCAGTATATGCTCTGCTGTAAAACACGTGATCTAGACCTAATCAAATTTTGCAATATTGCAGACACTTCACCTTTTTTTTTTTTTTTTTCTTCATTTCAGATTTTTTTTATTTATGTATTTTTGTTTTGATGTTTTTTTGTTTATACTGCCATTACATGGCAGTACTCTTGAATATTTAATTGTACCATTGTGATTCCTGCATACAGATACCCAGTGGAATGTTTGGCAGTAGTGGAGCAGCACAAACCCGGGCCATGCAGCAGCAGCCTCCTCAGCCACCAGTGCCACCTCTCAGCTCCTCCCAGCCTAGTCTACGTGCTCAAGTGCCTCCGTTTCTCTCCCCTCAGGTAGTCAAACACATGATAATGCATATTAGATTTATTATGTGCTACTATGTCAAGTCCTAACACATATAAACAATCGCTTAAAGCTTGAAGATTTTGTGATATGGCCGAGGAACATGATTCTTTTCTTCCCCCACGTGTCTATTTTGTATATTTTGGGCTTTTTAACTCATTTTAATTCTGTTGAATATGTCGTCTTTGTCCTCTTAAAATCTCCACAGCGTAGATCGCTTTTTACCTTCTTTTTTTAAAATCACACTTAAAAACTCATGTGCAGTTTCAGTGATGTGGTTGACATACTATGGCCATAACTCTTGAAATTGCAAGATTGCCTCCCAGACCTTTCACCTCCCTTCTTTTCTATCCTGCACAAATGCAGCGGTGGCTAGTTTCATCTTGCCAGAAGGTGCTTTTATGTACAGTTATTGTGATGTGCAGTGACTAACTTGTCATCTCTCTTTTGTTCCACCTCCATTTTTTCTATTCGCTTCAGGTCCAAGCACAGCTCTTGCAGTTTGCAGCAAAAAACATTGGTCTGAACCCTGCACTTTTAACTTCACCAATAAACCCTCAACAAATGACCCTGTTGTACCAACTTCAGCAACTGCAAATGGTGAGGTGCCATCGCTCTTTGCATTGCATTTGCAGCGCAGCTTTAACTTTTACAGCTTGAGTGAGAGAATATGTCTTCTGGACCTTTATTTTCATTTTTGATTTTACTTTTTAATTTGATTTTACTTCCTATGAATATGTCATTTTTAAAAATGACGATATCTAACAATGCATGAGAAAGGGAGTGTAGATTTTTTTATTGTTTACATCAACGTATTTCTTTATTTGTCTTCATCGATTCAGGCGTACCAGCGTTTACAAATCCAGCACCAGATGATGCAGGCGCAGCGCAATGTTTCCGGCCCTATTAGACAACAAGAGCAGCAAGTGAGTCAATAAATGTGTCATTACAAATAAAGTATGACCGTGAAGGTCTTTTAAAATTTCATGTGTGTGACTACATGTGGGCCATGAGTCATCGTACTGTGACCCAACTTCATTTATTCCTTTTTTTTTTTTTTTCAGTTATTTTTTTGTCACATCATTACAACAGCGAAAAGAATATGCTTTGTAACAACAGGAGTTGCTGAAACGTTTAGATAACACAGGAACTTGTTACTTCCCATTATCTGACAACTTCTCCATTTTGCAAAAGGCGATAGTTTGTTCTCCTTTTTGTAAAAGAAATTATGTTTTGTTAGAAATAACCCACAAGATCCATAAGATATAGGTAAATCTTATCTATCTAACATTTTCTGTTTAAGCTTATCTTTGCAAACCACCCCTGCGTGTTCTTTTTGTTTGTTTTTGCTTGCGTATCTTTATCTATAACATTGAAACATTTTATTTTCCTCTTGTTTTTCCTTTCTATTCTCCACTGTCTCGACTTCCTCTTTGTTTTTCTTTTGTTTCATTATTTCCATCCATAATTTGATTAATGTTGTTGCTCTCCTGGCCTATATTTCCCAGTGCTTTCTTTTGAAATACATAATTATGACAGTCCTCCTTTTCTCTCCCAGGTTGCACGTACAATCACCAACATGCAGCAGCAGATCCAGCAGCACCAGCGTCAGCTGTACCAAGCGCTGCTGATGAAGCAGCAACAACTTCCCTCTCATTCCTCTTCTTCTTCCTCCTCCACTGGTCTGCATCCCCCCGGTGGCCCCGCCGGAGGCCCCGGCTCTGGCAAATCAACCCTGGACCCCTTCACAGGCACTCACCAGGCTCCGAGCCTTGCCGATACACTGCACACCAAAGAGCCGCCGTCGTCGCCCAGCGCCTACAGCACCTACCCTCTCTGTGAGTCTGCTCTAGCAACAACACGGGGCTGAAAGAACTACACTATGGTCACTTTGTTTAAAACTCAAATTTTCCCATGACACAGAAATAAAAGAAGAACCCTCATTGTGTATTACAGCCTGTGTAGCACCTGATTTTGTGTCATGTGAAGTAAAAATAAATCAGCAACTCTTTTTTAAAAAAAGAAAAAGAAAAATCGTGCAATTGCCAAAATGCTTGCATCTTTTGTCTTATAGTTGTATGTGCAACACAATGTATCAAACAGTGTATCGTTGTGTTGTGTGTTTGAAATATTTGTTTTTATTTGTGCAAATATTAACAAAAGATTCCTGTGTTTTGTGTTCAGCTGGACTGAATCCAAACATGAATGTAAACTGCATGGAGGTTGGGGGTCTGTCCCTTAAGGAGCCCCCTCAGCCCCAATCCCGCCTGTCCCAGTGGACACACTCCAACTCCATGGACAACCTCTCTGGCAACTCTTCAAATCTGGAGAACAACCTCAATAAGCACGGTACTTTGCACAATAACACAGACAAGCATGCTCACATAATGCAGAGGCTTTGAGAAAATTGTTAGATGAAACCAGCCTGACATTTAATGTTAAGTTGTTTTTTTGCATAAATACTTTCCAACGCCTTTTTAAAAATCTTGATATTTTTGTGCAGACATGCTTCACTTGTTGAGGAGTGATTATAAGGCACTATTGCAAACGCCACACCTCCTAACACACTTAGGACTCGTTGACTTGTTTCCCAATGAGTAACTCAACAACTGACAGTAGCTTTTTGTGCCACTTGTATCATGCAAGACTTTCGACTGCGTTTGTTTTTTTTCGCACGTTCTGTTTGCAAGCTCATTAAGAATCCCTGAGTCTGAGGTGTCATAGTTCCACCCAATAACAATGACAGGTGTTGCAGTCACGTCCTTGAATATAATTGTGACATTTCTGTGATTTTCGAGAAGACAAATGCAGTCTTATATTTGTGTCAGTTTGAAACCACTGAAGTGCACGAAGCACTCAGTAATGATGTCAGTTACTTTCCATAAAAACAATTTCTGTAATGTTTTGAGAAACTAGTTAACTGACGCAGACTTGTCAACTACTGCATTACTTTCATTTTAGCATTTAAGATTTCGTCAGGTTCTGCATTTCATACACATGATCTGTTTTCCAGCTTATACGTAGATAACAATCTGTGGACTGCAAACAGTTATTCTTAGCTCATAGTTTCATCTTTTTTCTCCCACTATGGAAATGTTTATTGAAGATCTTAATCTTACGTCTACTGAAGCTCAATAGGAGCATCAGTAGACTTAAAAATAGACTTAATGTAGACACCCTTTTTAGGGTGGTGTTAAATGTGCATTTATAATATTAATACTTGCAAAAATGTGTATATTTTCCTACTAAGTTGGACTAGGTTCAGGTGACTTTCTTACTTTTTCCTTGTGTGTTTCAGGTGCCATATCTGCTGCCTCTACCCTGGTCCCTCCTGGGAAGCCTCCTCAGCTGGAGGACTCATACAGCCCTTACAATCTAATCTCCAGCTCTGAGTCTCCCACCAGCCCCCTCGTGCCCCCTGACTGGGGCCAGGGCAAGAGTCCCAGTGAAAAGCTCTCCAATGGGACCAACATTAACTGGCCCCCAGGTGAGAATGGGATGCAGAGGTATAAAGGTGTAGAACAGACAGGTGTTTTTCTTTAAATTGCGTGAAAAAGTCTCTGAATCTTTGGATACAAAGGAATTTATGAACGTGTCGGGTGTTTATCTAGAACGCAGTACAATCTCACTGGACTAATAAAATACAAACAGTACTTTTCTTATGTCGTAATTGCTTAATTGCATCAATTAAGGCTGCTGCTAAGGAAGCAGCTATTCAGTCTACAAAATTCAGAGGAAGATTTAAATACGAAGCATAGCATTAGATCAGGTTGGTTCACCACAATACCATTTTACACATTTACATGGCAGCTCTTATATAAAGTAGGCTAAACAGTATTACTGCTAAACTTAGCCTGTCCAGAGTGGACCTCTATCTGCAAGCCCTCTTGCAATTCATCTCACGCACCTCAGTTGCTGCAGTTGCAGTGCACCAAGTATAATTCAGCGTAACACCTCGCTTCACACCTTTGTGTACATCTAACCTTGAAGTTTTAGCAGTCCTTTATTGTGTGCGTGTGTTTTAGAGTTCTGCCCAGGGGTGCCATGGAAAGGCCTTCAGAACATCGACCCCGAGAATGACCCCAATATGACCCCTGGCAGCGTCCCCAGCGGTCCCACCATCAACACCAACATCCACGACGTCAACCGTTACCTGCTGCGAGACAGGAATGGAGGTATGACAACAGACAAGGGCCCAAATATCAGTACGACCGATAGCCCCACCGAAAAGTTGCGCTTTGTAAAGTTAGATGAATATATGTTAGTAACCACTTCCACAAGCCTATCCATGCTACCATATCTGCTTCACCACAGACCCCCACCATCATGCTGCACAGCATATATGAAATTAACCTTTTTGGGGGTTTGTGTCTGCTCACCACACTGTTCTCTACAACCATATAGCCACAGCTTCTCCACTTCAGAATGGCTCTTTGCCTCCAATCAGCAGCGACTGGCCCGTCAGTGGCTACTCTAGATCTTTCAGTCTGTCGTCCTGTGATGGAGATGCCTCAGGTACACATCCCACGTATTCCCACTCATGTGTGGACCTGCTGACCTTTCCTTGCCCAAATGGAGAAATTCTCCTTATCTTCAACCTTACTTAACCTCTGAACTTTATTTATACATGCCCTTACCTCAGTCACACCTAAAAACCTGTTCCTTCAGCGCCTTAAACATCCTTTACCAAAACTCTTTGACCAAACCCACAAAAAAAAACAAGCCTCACCTAACTGGTCGTGACATTGGTACACACCCTATGTGTTCATGAATCTTAAAAAAGGATATTTGAAGTTTTTATTTGTAGACATTTTTGCAAAGTATGGTGTAATTGAAGACAGGTGGGTTTGTGGCTTGTTTTGCTGTTCATTTCCACATTTTGAAGCTACTATAAAGAAGTTCCAGATGATCCAGTTGAACGGTCATATTACATATAAAAAAATAAACGTTTTTTAACAGTATCCTCTTTCTCTTTCTCTGTTTCTGCTCTCCATGTACAGGTAAACTGTCTGACATGAAATCCACTTGGTCCCCAGGGCCCATCTCTCAGAGCCAAGCTTCTCTGTCCCACGAGCTTTGGAAAGTCCCACAGGGGCCACGCAGCACCACAGCCCCATCACGGCCTCCGCCAGGCCTCACTAACACCAAGCCCTCCTCTACCTGGGGAGGCAATTCGCTGGGTCTGTCTCAAGGCTGGAGTGGCTCATACTCCTCTGGTGAGCACTCAATTTCTTTTTATCAGAAATAGTGATGTGAAACTATCTGATACGTCATCACTGAGTTTTCATTGAAAATAAGCATACTATTGGCAAAAGAGAAAAAAAACACGAGTATTGACAGTTTAGTGTGTGATTCAGGCACTTCAGGTGTGTGATTACTCCACTTTACATTTTTCTTCAGTTCTTGTTTTTATTTTGTGTCGTTCTGTTTTGAATTGACTTTAGTCTCAATGAGTTTCCTGAGTGAGATTTCTCATTTCAGTATCTATTGTGTCTAGTTTTAGTTTCGTTTTTATTCGGTGTTAGTTTTAGTTTTGTTTTTACTACACGAGGAAGAGTCAGATTGTGTGATTTAGAAAGTTTATAACGATATGATGTTTCTTTTCAAGCTATACAAACACAGTCATGTAGACAGTCTCAATAACCAGATTCCCCAAAGCTTGCTCAGACTGGTTGCGTTTATAAATTTGATTATAGTAACATAAAGTAAAGACATTATTCCTTTTTTATTTTTTAATGACACACTTTACAAGTAATTTTCTTATTTTCTTTTTTTTCTGAAGTCTCATTTATATTTATTTTAGGTGGCTAAAATGGTTTTTAATGCCCAGTTTTAGTTTTCATTTTCATTTCAGCTTTAGTTAATGATCATCATGTGGGTTAAACTGCTTTTTTAAAGAACAGTGTATCATCATCATAACTGCAATATTGGCTATTTACTTCATGAACAAATAAATATCAGGTTGCTTCTAACAATTTCTTTGAAATTGCTGAGCTTAAGCTGCGTACAGTGCCTGTAATTTACAGAGGACAAATCAGGACATTTGAGCAGATTGCCGTGACCACGAATGCAGGCGAATACATCTCTATGATGTATTACACGCAAGCCACAGACATGGTTGCCTATGCATAGGTGTGGTGTTCACAGCTGCGACTTAGCACAACCCAACTCTTGGTATTGTAAAGGTTGCCTGAACACACCCTGCCAAACTGACATCTTGAGGTTTACCAGCTTTCGCGTGACCTCGTTTTGACATGACAGATCTATACTTTATGCAGCAAAGAGGAAATAAATTTAGTGTGTGGAATAGATAGCAACTGGTGTCATGTTTTCCTTAGTAGTTGAGCTCTTAGACTTCAAGGCCCAGAGTCTCAGGGCTCTGGAAAAAGTCTCATAATATCAGAGAGTGTTGTATGTTGAATACAGCTCTTTTTCTCTTTCTGTTAGAAGGGCACTGTCACATTGATACACACTCACTTTATCTTTCTTTAGAAAGAAGCCATCTAGGCTTCTTGCAATGTGTGCCTGTGCCTGACCAAGATTCAGTTTTGACATTGAGTCAAATAACTTGTAATGAAAGTATTTCTGCAAATCATTATTCCAAGAAAACTCTTAATTTTTAACTCTGTCTGCATCCACGTTACAGAGGGAACCACATGGAGTACAGACAGCTCCAACAGAACCAGCAGCTGGCTGGTGCTGAGGAATCTCACCCCACAAGTGCGTATGCTTTTCTTTTTTCTTTTTTTTTCTTTTCTTTCCTTTTCTTTTTTTTTTTTTTTTGCTAGTTTTTCACTGATACCTTGGGCCATTATAAGGAATTCGAGTTTAGTCCGCTCAAATTTGAATCTGCAGTTGTAGATTTCTGCTGGTGTAACCTTTTATTTAGTTGCAATGACAAAAGAAACAAAGCAAAAGGAATAAAAACAGAGGGTAGACTGTGTTTGAGATAAAATGGTAAGATAGTTGTGACTGCAACTCTGGTGTGCTAATGTCTTGTTCTTTGCTGCAGATTGATGGTTCAACTCTGCGGACCCTGTGTATGCAGCACGGCCCCTTGATCACATTCCATCTCAACCTGACCCAGGGGAATGCTGTGGTGCGCTACAGCTCCAAGGACGAGGCTGCCAAGGCCCAGAAGTCCCTGCACATGTAAGCGTTAGCACAAGTCTCTTACATCAGCAAAAGTGGACTTAAAAATGGTGGGAAAGGGCACTTTTTACTGAGGCAATATAACGGTGAAAAAAATGACAAATGCTTGGGGAAAACACAGTGTTCCTGATTTCTTTAGTATCTTTTCTCATGAATAGAACAGTTCAACATTCTCAATAATTCCAAGCAATGTTATTTTTGTGTCTGGGACAGTCACATGGGGGTGGGGAGTCACACCGTGGTCAGATGTATTGCAAAATTACAGAGATTGTTGTGATAATTAGTTCATCATGGGAAAAGAGCAGTGTGGAGACGCGTGTTTAGGCTGCACGCTCGCGTTGTTATTTCTGTGAGTCTCATGAGAGTTCCCTGATTCGGTTTAGCTAATAGTTTGTTGCCATGGAAACAAAATACAAGCCTTGTGACCCACTTTTCATTATCAGCAGCATTAAATGTGGTTACAGTGTAATGTTGGCATTAAGCACAAAAACAATTGAATAACATTAAAAGCAATCATCTGTCATGTCTGGTTTGCTCCTGATCGTAAAAACCATTCATAATTTTTTTTCTTCTTCTTCTGTGCGTTAAGGTGCGTGCTTGGAAATACCACAATCCTGGCGGAGTTTGCTGGCGAGGAGGAAGTGAACCGCTTTTTTGCACAAGGCCAGTCGCTGGGGGCAAACACCACGAGCTGGCAGGCCAACCCGGGAACCAATCAAAACCGAATGGGCGGGGCAGCGCAGTCCCACTCAATTGGCCAGTGGAGCAGCAGCACCGGCGGAGGCAAGGCCAGCGGAGGCGACCTGCTGTGGGGCGGTGTGCCTCAGTACTCCAGCCTGTGGGGTCCGCCCAGTGGAGAGGACGCACGCGTGATTGGGAGCCCCACCCCTATTAACACCCTGCTGCCTGGCGATCTGCTGAGTGGGGAGTCCATGTAGGATGATGCCACAACACACTAACCAACCAACCAACTAACTCACCGCCACCATGTCATGTAAGCCATTGGTGGAGGGTGGGGTGGATTAAGAAAAGAAAAAAAAAAAAATCAATGTGAACAGGAGCAAAACCCAAGCAAATCATGTGGTGATAATCAGTATCAATTTGAACTGTTTGAACTGTGAATTGTAAATCAGAAGGTTGGGGTCATTACCACAGACTGCAGACCCCAGTCCTTTTGTTTTACTTTGGTCCCTTTCTCATTTGGTTTGCCGTTTTTTGTTTTGTTTTTGAGGGAAAACAGCCCTTTTTGTCCTCTTGGTATTTTTTAAAATGCATTATATTAAAAAAAAAAAACTGAAGTGAGACACAACACAAAGAAACCTTTTAACTGTTTTATTAGTTTTTCCATAAGTATTCATGGCATTCTGTGGGAGGATTTCTTTTTAGGAGAAGCAATCAAAGCTGCCATCTGAGACTTTCCTTTTCCCTCCTAAAAACAAATAAAAAAAATCATCCCAAAATAAGACTTACAACAACCATTCCCAGCATATCCATGGCCAATGATGTTGTTCAAAGACCTTTACTAGTTATGTTAATGTTTGTTTCTCAGCACTAATATTAGCCTTAAGTGCTCTCTGGCCCAGGTCCTTCCCAAGCCGTCTTTGTTTTTTGTTCTTTTTTTTGTTTTGTAACTGAAGAAAAAGCTGAAATCTTGCACAGTTTCACCTCTGAGCCAGCGAGCGGTACAGGACACAACTGGTGACTGACTTTGTCGCCGGGCAGTAAGAAGGCCTGGCCACGCCACGTGACTGGCACTACCAATCATCTACGTATTATTTTAATTTGTCTTAAAGGGATTGACACAGTTGTTTTTTTGTTGTTTTTGTTTTGTTTCTTTGGTAGGCCTAAATCCAAGCAAAAGTTTTGACACCCATCACAACGAATAAGCTGAGAGAAGATTATTTGTCAGCCTTGCTGCGTTTGTCCATTTCCTTATGAATATGTATGTCCGGTGGCACCTAATCATTGACCTCTGTGAGCCCGGATCCTTCTGGTCACCTTTAAAATCGGAACCCAGTTGCTTTCTGGTGCTTTGTCGAATTTTCTAATGACAGATTTGTTATGAAGCCCAGCGGCCTTTGTGGTCGGCCAATTTTCGGAGGAAAAAAACCTCAATTCTACTTTCAAGTGACAGTTACATTGTGCAATATACACCATAGACCTTTCTTCCGTCCACAGTCGATGTCCACCGGAGCTGGTTTGTCTAATATTTTTGTTTTCTTGTTTGTCTTTTATGTTTTGAATGTTGCTGATTTCAGCAAAAAGACTTTGGAACTTCAAAAAAAAAACAAAACCCCACCTTACCCCCATTTTTCAAAACTTGGATTCCCTCCAGACCACCAGTCCCCTTGAAACTGTTGGGAAAATTCTGCAAAGAGGAAGAAGCAGCTGTTGAACTGTGTATGCAGCAAATTGTACTAAAAAGTGACACTGGGGTACACAACAATGCACACTTCCTCTCTGCGTGCCACAGCCACACCCAACAGAGACTGAAACCACAGTGGGATTGGATGGTTCTGGGCATCTGGCACAATACCAAATAAGAGGGGTTTCTCCTAATGCAGTAGACCTACGAGTGTTCCTTGCGTTTGGTACTGTACAAACAGAAGAGACTAAGATTTTTTTTGAGTTCTAAGGGTTTTATCATAGCACTTATGAAGAGCAAATCGCTTCAACTGCAATCCAATAAATCAAAAAGGAGCAGCAAAAACGATGAAAACAACACAAAAAAAGTACTGCTCTTTTATGTACTGTATCTATTCCATGGAAACGTGTCTGGCGTTGTTCCTCTGGTAGCAGGCTGAAGGGAAACAAAACTGAACTGTACCATTGGACTTTTGGGGGGGAAAAAACTTCACTCTTGGTTTTTTCCCCTTCTTTGAACTATATCAACGTGATTATCACTGTTACTCCAAAAATTGTTATCCTTGCTCTCTTTGGAGGCTCTAGACTTTGCAGTGTCAGTGGTCTCTGACACCCGCTGGACAGCCAATCCGGTCAGTCGGTGGTTGAGTCAGAGTGGGGTGAGGTGGGGGAGTGTCCACTGAGTGCCTCTTTGCTGTGGTCCTCTGGATGTCGAGCGGCAGCCCCACAGCGCAGCACTTCCTCCTGGGCTCCACTTGACCGTCTCTCAGTCTGGCGTGAAAAACAGATCCTCCGGGACTGGCCAATCACGGCTCTCTGCCGCACACACGGCATCTCCAACAGGGGCCCACTACCACTCGACCCTGCTGTCATCCTGCCCTCTCCCCCACCTCCCATCTCTCAGTTCTTTGACACAAAGATCACTTTAGCTGGAAGATGTAATAGTCATATTTCTGGAATTTTTGCCAGTGTACTTTGTATTTTTTGGAAAAGATCATTTGACTTTTTTTTTTTCCAGTGTGTTATATTGTTATTTTTATCTACATGCAGTGGTCTACAAAGTACTGGCTGCTGAACTAGCCCTTCACTGTTCATATGCAGAAACACTTTGGTCAGAGGTGCCTCTGTATGTTCATCCTGTGTATTGAATGCAAAATGAGGATCAATACTACAGACCGTTAATGATTGTCTATTTGTTTTTAACTGATCATGCTTTCTTCGTTTGACAGTATTCTGTAGTACTTCCAGGTAGTATCTTGAGATGTGTAAGAAAAAAAAAAAGGTGTCTCAGACGGGGATGTGGGTGTTTGCCGCTCCAAGCTGCTCCACCTGCCCGCAGGCTGTCCCCCCTTGCCCTTTGCCTAGCTGCTATGCTATGACCTCCTCTCCTCCTCCACCACAAGAAGACCCAGTAGCCCTCCCCTGACCAGGCACCTACAGGCCCTCATATCTGTTTCTATGCAAAAAGACGAGAGGCTGGGGCCCTTTACAGCACGCCAAAGCTGTCTTGGGAATGAGCACTCCTCCCAGAGCTTGGCATATCCTAACAATTGTCCCCCACGCGCTCCTGTCAGCACTTCAAACTGGCCGCAGTTTCTGTAAAGTCAGGCTCAGCCACCAGAACACTGTCATGTATCTAAAAGTTAGAACACTTTATCAAAAGGTCGGCCTTTCTCTCTGAGCTGAAGACGCTTCTGTCCAGCTTGATCTCAGGGTAGGGGAGTTGATGATACAAAGTATGAGATGCAGCTCTCCGTATCTGTCCTTTCTACTGTGAGAGCAAAGTCTAAAACTTCGAAGGCCATCTGCACGCAGCAGGACGTACAGACCTCATGCCTCGAAACTGAATCCTTATTGTAGGGGGGAAGAGGCTCGCATTGAATCCTCTTCCCAAAAAGATGGCCTCTTGTTATTGTTTGGGGAGACATTATTGCATGTAAAAAGATGCCAATGTATTGTGCCAATATAAATTTGCTGTGTCATACTGTATATTTATAGAGAGCACTTCTGTTCCCTGTTTGGAGGAGCTTTGATGACCTTTGCAGAGGGTGTAGGGGGGGACAGGAGGGATCAAACAAAAGGGCGGCAGCATCACACCCTGAAGTGACTGAGATTTTTTTTTATGCTTTTGTGGGGAATGCCCCAAGCTAAGGAGAAAATCTTTACTCAGTTGGGGGTTCCGGTTTGCTACAGTGCACAGTTGATGATGGGTAATCCCGGGTACATATTTTTTTAAAACCAAAAATGAAATTGCATTTTAACGTCATTTTTATGAAGTTTGACATAAAAATCTTAAAAATGCTAAAAAATCTAAATGGAAAAAAAAAGATCTATAATATGTTAAAAGCTCTGCACTTCTAGCTGAAACGTCTCTGGTCATCAGCCTCTGCTACCAACATCTAAAGGAGCAGAGCGGTGGCTGGGGTGCCTTTTTTTTGTGGATGCTGTATTTATCTCGTTTTACGTTTGTGCCCTGCTCAAAGCAGGCCCACTGAACTGTACATTTCCACAGACCCAGGTGGCTTGGGCCCACTGTATCAGCCTCACTCTCTGATTCTGCATCAGCAGGAGCAGAGAGGCACATTTCAAGAGGTACAAAGTCTTAAAAATGAAACAAAAAAACAAAAAAAAAAGCTTAAAAAATATATTTAAAAAAAAAAAAAAAATAAGAAAACGGGAAAAGGCTACCTTTCAGGACTTTCAGTCCTGCAGCACACAAGCAAAAATCACTATTGCCTGTTTCTGTAACTGCCTTGATCCAAGCTCAGACAGACCCAATAGCCGAGGACCTCCCAGCATCCTGTACTAACTGGAGAACCCTGACAGTGAAGGGGGTTTCCCATGCTGCACCAGCATCGAGAGGCTCTCCTCTCTACAGCTCTGTTCTAGATAGCAGTATATGTATACACTACATATAAATATATATATCTATATATATATACTGTGAGTACGGTGTGTGGTATCACCTCTTCAGACTTCTTGGATCGTAACCTCTGAAACTTTCATTTTAGTTTGAAAGGTCTTGGTTTAACACAGCTGAAAATGAGCAATATGTATTTTCCCCGCAAATAAGTGAGACAAAGGAAAGAATTTGGGTCGGGTATAAACTGATACTTGACTGATCGAAAGCAAAGTCTTTCTTGTACGGAGTCAGATATGCACGTTCTGGTTTTGATGACATATTACAGTACTATGAAGTGTTTGTACTGTATATGTGTGTTATTTGTTTGTTAATTAGGCTGCCTAAAAGCCCAACCTGAATCACCTGGTTTAATGCATATTTTACCCAGTTGATTTAAAAAAAAAAAAAAAAAAGAAATCACAAACATATCAAAACAAAACAAAACATTGAACAGAAATACTTGAATCATTGAACGCCAATAACATAATGTGAAGTCAGTAATTATTATTGTTTTGTTCTTTCCATCTGACAGGTACACTTAGGGGCTTTTAGAGAACACCAGATGTGTATTGCATTAAGTTACAAATACAAAATCTTTGAAAAAAACAAAGTCATCTTAGATGTGTGCTTGAAAGTCAGATGTTTGTATGAATGTGTGCTCAAGAAACTGTGTACAGGGCACGTGGCCTGCTGTTATGTTCCACTCAGTACGTTATATTTTGTGTCTGTTTATATCTTCTTTTTTTCGTTGTTGTTATTGTTGATGATCTGTCAAAAACTATTCTGATAGACGTTGTTATCTTCTAACGTTGCACTGAGTGTCTTCTACCCCTCACTCAGCTAATCGTAGTTAAACGAGTCTAAGTACGGAGGGGCGATGGTGACAATTCATGTGTACATGTTTACTCAAGGACTTTGTTTTTCCATTCTGTAAAAAGTTTATCTACCTTATAGTGGCTTTTATTGTGGAATAATCCAATACAAGGATTATCTTGAGTATTGCACCATTTTGTTCCAATTATATAAAAAAGAAAATAGGAAAAAAAATTAAAAAAGAAAAATGTGCAAAAAAAAAAGATAAAAGGAAAAAAAAAGAGTAACAAAAAACAAAACAAAACAAAGAACTGTGGCCATAGATAGCTGTAGAAGGACTAGTAATCCTGATTTTAACTTCATGGAGAGACGGAAAGGGATAAAGTGTGGGAGGTGAGTTTGTTATAAGACTCATTTCAGAGGTGCCTATCTTTTCTTTTTTTATTTTGCAAAAGCCACCTGTCGTTTACAAAGCATTTCATTTATCGGAGTTCAAGGAAACAGGAATGTTTTTTGGTTTCGTTTTTTGTTTTTAAGGACAAATTTCATCCTCCATCAAATATGGACATGAAAATCTTGCAAAATGAAGATTTATGCTACTTTCAGAACTCTGGGATTGATCAGTGTTGTCATATTTCAATTTTTAATTTCTCTTTTAGTATCGATGGACTATCTCTGTATGTGTTACATGGTGATTTTATGTTTTCTGTAATACTGCAACGCAGTTTACTCACTATCTTGCACACTCATTAAAAAAAAAAAAAAAAGATGTGGATTTTGTCTCAGGAAGGCCAGGGTTCCAGATACCAACTCCATCATTTCTAGGTTTGATGTTCGTGTGAAAATAAGCAACTGAGAACTATTAAACTCCAAGAAAGCACTGAAGTTTATGAGTTTAACAGAATATAGAGAGTACCATTGTTTCTTTAAAACAACAAAAAATGTTCGTAGCAAGTCACATATTTACCAAATAAGACTAAGAATCAACTTTGAGAAAAGTGGAGCGCTTTACATGTGAAATTTGAAGTAGAAATTGCTTTACATTTAAACGCGATCAGTGGTTTGATTGTCATTATGACAGTGACAGGAAAATGCATTTGTATGTTTTGACTTTGAGTTTCCATCCTGTAGTTCAGGAGCATGTGCAAGACACTCTTTGTTTGTTTGTTTTAAAATCATCTCTCCTGCCTGTTAACATGTCAGTTCCTGTGACAGGTATTCAATAGCTGAGAGATTTCTTAACATGTAACAGATGGTTTTCAGAGGCATGTTGAAGAGGAGGAATAAAGCTGGTTTTTAATGGATCATGATCTATGCACAAGTGGGAGGGAGGAGTCCAAACCCTGCTGCTGTACTGCGGGCGTTTGTCGACTCAGACTCTGGGGTTCAGGGTTTGATGGAGGGTTTTCATTTTTTTGTGTGTGTTTTTTGCTGAAATTTCTTCCACTCCCATCCCACCCATTGTCATCTAATGTTTTAGCAAAATTTTACATTGCGTCGTCATGCTGTGTAATCCTTAACCAATGAGCGCTTATCCTTCTGCTAAAGCACTGTGGGTTGTACTGAGGAAAAAACAAAAAGAAGCCCGTTACTTTTAAGGCTGTCTGTTTTTTTTAAGGGGAGGACGGCGGGTGGGTTGTGGGAGTGGGGGTACTTTGCCTTTGCCTTTCTCTTTACTTTGAAGAAAAAAAAAAAAGTAAAATTGTCTGTAACTGAAATACAAAGTTGTGGCTTTTAATGTTGTTCTTTTTTTCTCCTCATAGAATGTGATTGTTAAAGACATGCACCGAAAAAACAAATGTTTCCATGGATTATGGAACTTCTTTCGGACTATATTAATAAACTGCAAATTTTCTTCTCTGTTATTTTGTATCTTGTCCTGGTTTTTTTTGTTTTTTTTTCCTTTGTTTGATTGTATGTTTTTTTTTAATAGTAGAAGGGAAAAAAAGCTTTTTGGGGGGCAACTAAAATCAAACTTTTAAAGCTGTTTTTAGCATATTTTACTTGTGATTCCATACGTGCAGATTTTAAGGTCTGGTGAACATTTTTATAATGCTCCAAAGTAACAGCCAAGAGCTATGTTGAAGGTACAATGTGTAAAATCTCAGCACCTTTCGATTGCAGCCAACTGAATTCTGGTTTCTTACCCCTTCCAATTTAATTGCATAATCCTAGTTACAGTGGCTGCTGTAGGGAAAAACACACTGTGGTAGTTTTGGTAGTTTATCTGTTGTAAATGCAGGCTGTTAGTCGGCTGTTTACCTCAGCTGGCAATGCCAGGTGAAGTGCGTGAAAACTAATACAAGTCGCAGAAGCTCACTTCTGCTTTTGATGGTATCCTGAACGTTTGTTAGTAAGCGCTGCTGTTGGCTGATATTAGTGAAACTTTCTTTGAAGTGGATCTAACATTGGACATTCCATTCAGTTCAGTGAAATTCAATTTTATTTATGTAGCACCAATAACAATAACTTAAAAGCAGCTGTTTTAAGTTATTGTCTAGCCCACTTGTCAGCTGTCCAGAGGTGGAAGGGTGGCATGTCTCAAAGTAAGTAATAATAATGTTTAGGCATCTTTTGATGTGTTACAGCTGTGATGATGAGGATGAAAATAAGCATGTACAATTCTTAAATG